ATAAGACTAAGACCAAAATATTAGAAGCATCTGAAGCGACACCAAAAGTTATAAATAGGCACAGTTTGCCTCAACTTCACATGCATGCCTATTTTGTCATCATCAATACTCACTATTTCATCAACATCCTCGTCTTTTATAATACCTCCATCAAACCCTGATCCATCCTCTTCAGGCCAACAGTCGTTAGACACAAATTTATTACACACAACATTACATGCGAGTTTGAATAATACCCGTTTGTCGATCCGCACTTTATTGAATATAAGAGAAAGCCAACAAACGCGGATTGTAATCCACAATCGTAACTCAATAATTAATGACTTACTAAGAGCTGGGGATGCAAATATTGTGGATATGCTAGCAACACCTGTTATCTTAATACAAAGTGAGCAAGTCGTTGATATTGGAGGGGTATTATGTGACATTGTTGAGAGCTTTTGGGAGCAAATTAGGGTGTGGGAATTTCCTATTTTTGGTTCGCTTTTTACAAACAACACACTCACTCCCAGGATGCGTGCAGCATTTCCTGAAGAGACTAGAATAGTGGGTAGACTGTTATGGTGGTCGATTATCCATAACATTTCTTATCCAAAATGGCTTGCCGCTTATGTGTTAGATTGGAAGACATAGATTTATGGAGGCGGTGAAGTGTATCTCTGAGCCATTATGGACATTATGCAATGAATTAGACAGACTTAGTCCAGAAGAATGGCGAACATAAGAATTTTCAGTGGTGTTGCTAGAATTTGTCGAACAGAATGATATACTTGTACGGCAACTACGGGATGACTCCCCTCAGGAGATGGCAAATTTGATCAAGTTGTCAACAGTATTACTATCTCGGAGACATACTTTGGACAAATCGAATAACAGTATCGCTCACCCAAGCGGCAAGGCACCAAAGTTCAGCGACAGTACAAGGCTTAGTATGTCCTTGTAAGAGATCAGGGGTCGGATGTGGCTCCAGATGTCATCCGTCACAAGCAAAATGTATAAACGGAGAATAACGTTTTTAACTTTTATTAATAATATTAATAAACATAACAATCGTATCGAGTGACTCAGACACATAATATGTTTTTCATGGTTCAATTAAGTTCTCTCTCGCAAACGTAACTTAACCTCAGGAGTACCATCACGAGAATAAGGAGCGTGGTTTGGGTCTAAACCACTAAAAATTTGTCACCATTTCCCAGTTCATCATTTCAAAACAAGATAAGTTTGATGAGACTTACAGAGTTCATATTGGTCAATGCTTGCCGCGCTTTTTTCAGTGTCCTGTGTAAACTCTCCTAATGAACCTTTGCCCAATTGATTACCTCATCTAGCTCTAGGATATATGCGTTTCTGGCATCCATTGGGTTATCTGTTATGTCATTCTTGCTGAGCTCTGCCAAACGATCCATGATTCATAAAACGGAACAGTCTTGTTGGCCCATAAAGTAATTTGTGGTAGTAGTAGACATATTTAAAATAGAAAATCGAGATAGTAATAGGGGTGTTTGAATTGAAATGGCAGGTAAATAGGATTGTAAGAATATGTTCCATCGTTGATGAAGCTGATATATATATAAGAAACGGAAAAACACTGCTCGGATCTTCCCCAAAATCTGTATTACTCGATATAATAATTACTTTGAATACACTAGGTAGATGCTTTCCGATTCTTGGACGTATTTCGTTTTTTATTGACAACTACGCGATCACTTAATAATAACAGGTTACACGATTTTCGGAATCAGTGATTATCATCAGCCAATAAGCTACTCGCAAAAAAAATTTCGTTCAACTAAAACGTCTCAACGCTTCCTATGCAATTCATCAAGTATGGCACCTGACGAACCCTCTGCATCACTTAAAAAGAGTAAACTGAAACACCATCCGTCAGACCAATCTCCACATGCACATTCTCCCCGTATATTCCAGCCTTTTCGTGCTCTCGGATACGTGACCAATGAACTTCCTTTTTCACTACAAGCGAGAGGAAAAGTTTATTTTCTTACTACTTGCATAGGAAATACCTTCCAGATATACGATGTATGTGGACTGTCAATCAATTTTGATGTGATAAAGATTGTTTGTGTAATATTTTATTTATTATATTTCAATTGAGTGCGTCAAATTGAACTTGCTGTTCGTAGGTATGTGTTGCATGGAAATAGTGTTACATAACCACAGCAAACCCGTTAACACCAACGCTATTGTCTTATCATGCCCATTCACTTTTGATTACCGTTCGATTTTCGGTTTTATCCCATTCCTTAGGTTCCCGAACAGAGGCTCCTATTACTGCCATAGCTGCTAGTGGAGATTACACTTTTGCGGCATGCAATAAGAACGTAATCGTATATGAAAGGGCAAAAGAAGTAAGAATGAATTTCTTATCAATTATATCCGCGATCAAATATTGGCTTAACATATTCTATGATTGGATATTTCAGGTTAGACGAATATTGGGAGATGGCGGCGAGATTTTCTCATTGACTGTTTTTTCTAACTACCTAATTGCATGCAGAGATGACAACTCAATTGCAATATGGGATTTTACAACAACCGGTACAACATAATCCTGTTGCCTTGAACAAGTTGGTGGATCAACCATAATATATTGACACTATAGCGCACGGATATTTGTAGAAAAGGTTACCGAGATTAAATTGGACCCTGGCTTTCGATTAGCCGTCCTGATTCACCCTAGCACATATTTAAATAAGATACTAGTTGGAAGTACAAACGGAGCTATGCAAATATGGAACTTTCGCACAAAGTAACTGAGTGATGCAGTTAACCTTTATCCAAGCAATGTTAATTTGATGTTAACGTTGTTCGTTTTTTAGGAAGCTCGTCTACACATTCTCTCCATTCTCCTCTCCAATCACTACGTTAGCCCAGTCACCTGTAGTTGATGTAATTGCCGTAGGATTACTAGACGGATCTATAATTATACATAATATCAAAGCGGATGAACAAATATTATCGTTTAAACAAGAAGGAACTGTAACCTCAATTTCTTTTAGAACAGGTGAGTCATTATTGCCCACTAAATGCCTCAATGGTCATAGACTTACCCTTCGATGTTCCTCTTGTCACATAGATGATCAGCATATCATGGCATCCGCTAATATGAGTGGAGACATTACCCTTTGGGACCTGGACAAGAGAAAGTTGCACCACCTAATGAAAGGGGCACATGATGGCATGATACCTTCAATACAATTCTTCAACGGGCAACCAATACTAATAACGTCCGGTACAGATAACGCAATCAAGGTAAATCAGATGTTTTTTCCTTTTCTTCCTTAATCCGTCAGCATGCCGTCTGTACCCTACCATTATTGTTTACATGAGGTATATTCTGCATTCTTTACCAGGAATGGATATTTGATAGTGCCGATGGAGTGCCGCGTTTATTAAGGTCACGAAGCGGCCATCATTTACCATCAACTTCGATTCAATACTATGGACAGGATGGGCAATGGATTCTAAGTGGAGCTGGTGATAGATCGCTTAGAGCGTTCTCAGTGATCAGAGATTCTCAGAGTGTTGAACTTTCGCAAGGTAGTAGACAATGAAGTTTTTTTCTATTACTATCGATCTTAGTTTACAACAATTGCACATAATCAGGATCCGTGGCAAACAAGTCGAAACATTTAAATTTGAAAATTGAAGAATTGAAACTACCTCCGATTACGCAGTGTGCTGCATGTAAGCCTGATTACCGTAGACGCTAGCAATATGCTGCCTGACTAGTTTAGACATTATTGTTCTCAAGTAACTCAATACGGACTACTATTTACCAGCTGAAGCCAAGCAAAAAGAATGGGATAACATTCTCACATGTCATCTAAATGACAATGGCGCGCGTACTTGGTCATTCCAGAACAAAGTAATTGGAAAACATGTTCTTAAAACAGGTGATGGGACTCCAGTGAAGGTGAGACCGTGTTCCCGCTTAATCGTTACGTCAATACGTCAACTTAGAAGATTTTTTTGTGATTTAGTCTGTACATATAAGTGCTTGCGGAAATTTTGGATTTGTTGGGTCGCTAGGTGGCCAAATTGACTTATACAACATGCAGTCTGGATTACATCGAAAATCGTTTGCTGGAATAGACAGTAAGTATTGTTACAATACGCATCTCTCATAAAAACTTGCCCGTTACATAACATTGCGCGACCGTTACTATCACAATCAAGGACATACAAAGGCTGTGACCGGAATAGGAAGCGACTCTCTTAACAGGATAATGATAAGTTCTTCGCTTGATGGCACGGTCAAGGTGGTTATTAATAGTACTATTGAAAAGCTATCTAAATAAGTTATATCTTACTCAATTTGTATTGATGTAGCTTTGGGATTTCCACACATCCAAAGTTCTTTATACTATAAACGTTGATTCACCAATAACCCTTCTTCGATTTCGAGTCGAAAGCGAGTTATTGGCCATTGTCAGCGATGACATGTGTGTAAGAGTCATTGACATAGAAACGCGAAAGATTGTCCGAGAATTTTGGGGACATAGAAACCGCATTACCGATATCGTATGTGTTAACTTGCTGCTTCAAGTTTGGTTTGAATTTTTAAGTCAGTGAGATTACCGGTTGGCTCACTATCGACTTCGTTGAACGTGCCGTTAAACACCACAATAGAGTTTCAGTCCAGATGGTCGTTGGATAGTGTCTGCCTCATTGGATGCGACTATCCGTACATGGGATTTACCATCAGGACATATGATTGATGTGTTTGAGGTAGAGAGTGTGACAACTAGTCTAACTTTTTCCCCGACGGGAGATTTCTTGGCGACTACACATGTAGACAATGTTGGAATATTTCTATGGTACGGCGAACAATATGCAGATTCTGCCCTAACGATAATCGAACATATTATGCCAATATTTTATTAACACGAGTGACTATGGACAATTTAATAGGGCGAATCGTACACAGTTTGCTAACGTAACTTTACGGAGCGTGTCGGACGAGGAAATACGTCCCGTCGAACTTCCAACTACATCGGGGATGGACAGTGACGTCGAAGGTATGCGATAACTGCAACAATGAGATATGTGTAGGCGGACCCTTTGGTTAACCTTTTCTTCAATGACCTTGAAGACGATTTATTTGTAATTGAAAACGGGCAGATGGACGGCACTTCTTTTGAAACACCAGATCAGTTGACACATCAAATGATTACAATGTCCAAGCTCCCCAAGACAAAATGGCAGAATCTGTTGAATTTGGAAACGATCAAAGTACGTTTGACGTGGAGATAATTAACCACGATATTCGAACAACCGGCTAACATTTTGTAATTAGGCACGCAATAAACCAAAAGAACCACCAAAGGCACCCGAGAAAACTCCATTCTTCCTACCCACTTTGCCAGGAGTAGATCCTAAATTTGTACCCGTATCCAAGGAAATCAATAACGAAGAAAAATCAAAGTCTGATTCTAGAGTACTGCACTTGAATGATACACGCCTGGAGACTGAATTTGTTAAAAAGATGAAAGTGGCATATGAGGCTAAAGATTGTGAGTGAATCGCAATTGTCAAGATTTTGTCACATTCTCTGTATAAT